ATAAATAAATGGAAAAAATATATGATATGCTTTTAAGGGAGAGAGTACGTGGATCCTAAACCATTTAATGTGAGTCCCTGCGTCATATTATTTCTCTATACATAATACACATAGTTAGAGACCCTATCGCTTCAATAGTAGAAATGAAATTTTTTGCTTGACTATCCCTAAGAAGACTATTATTAAAAGACAGCTAGATTGCATATTTTTGCAGAACAAACGAACTGCCATCGCCAAAGCACTGAGCCCTCTGCTCTGTTGAAGCAAGAAGATTGTGTGCATGTTCAATCACACAACTCGCCGAAGCAAACTTGTCTTATCAACACAAAAACAATCCAACGAGAAAAAGAAATGCAATGTTCAGGCAGGTCAGAGCAATAAAATTTATAGTTAAAAAATATGGAAAAAGAGATTTATATAAGTGGGGAACTATGCTCCATGCATGTTAATTAATCTCCTATGTAGTTCATTATATTTAGTTTTGAGCTGTATATTATTGCTTAGAAAAGGATAATCAGGACATTAATTATGCAGTAGTTCAGCGCTCTGTATCTTCGAGGGGTGGGTTTATTTCTATAAATATTCGTACAACATACAAATCATGTCTCGGCAATAATTTTTCCGAATTTTTGATGATCGATTTCACCATGGTACTTATTTATCACATGAGCATAGTAGTATCAATTGATTTTGGTTATTTACTTATAATAATATATTAAGTAATGCAGTGCAGAAATGTAAATAGAAAATAGCAATAAAGAAATAAGACTTCTTAAGCGCACTTTAATAAAGAAGACATACATACAAATATCACACATGAAACATAACTACTATAAATCTGGAAGCGGATCTTCTGCCTTTAACCCTTGTCGAGCATGTGCTAAATTTAGAGAAACGTTAATTATTAATAACTATGTTTTTTGTCTATATATAATGTAGCATCATAAAACAATTCATACCTATATATCCTCGTCTCCAATCAGATATAGCGAAAGGAACCTGTATTTGTTTTGCTTTCGGTTTGGGGAGATGGGTCCGGTGGTTCAAACTCTGAACATTATTAAGATCTTGCTCAGAAACTATTGGTCTATTAGCACCTTTCTTAATTCCAGCCTTAATATAAGCTTTAGTAAAATCCTGTAAATGGTGAAAAAATGTGATATGTACAAAATAAACGACACTATGCCGGATCCCTCTAGTGACTAAAAAATTACTATGAAGTAATAAATGTGAGGCAAATATTACGATTTGTCCTGGCCTAAGATGTACGACTATTTGGAGCTGAGGAAAACATAACTCTCCTCCTTCGTAATCCCCTAGTGCAACTAAGACATATAAACTATTTGTCTTGTCATGCTCATCCCAATGATAGTCACTAGTGGTATTAAAATTAATAGCTATCATTGGGAAAGCTCTAAAGGGCTTCGGCGCAAATAGACCCCATAACAGCCTGCTCAATTTCGTATATAAATCTCTATAATAGTCTCGGAGGAACCAGTTGACACAGTCCGATAATGCCTTGAAACCTTGAAGTAATTTGTTGACGCATTCATAGTGATCAATGTTATGCGTATTTGCAGTATTGGAACTTGTAAAAGAGAGCAAGTTGTTTCTGGTATAAGCCCCGAAATGTTCGATAAAATTGGTCCAAAATTCGTCGCTTCGATGTGATAGATGCTCCAACGTATAGAAATAATAATTATTTACAGCATTGGTTGCAAGTATAATGGCATTGTAGTCATTGAGTTGCTCTAAGTGAACCAATGTTTGGCCACTTAGATCCGTAATGCACTCTGGTTTCACTATATGTTTGAATTAGACCAATTCACTTATCGATTGGGGATTATGACGTGCTGATATGATCAGATGTGTCTTTTCTCTTCGAGTATTAAAAGCGGTAGCTGTGTCAAAAAGATCTTGAAAGTCCCTATCACTTTGAATATTATGAGCGTACCGGAGTTTTTCCATAACAACCTGAGGTGCTGTCGTACATGCCTTCTTTTTAATGGACCATCCTCAATGCCAACATCGGTCTCTCTAATAATGTCAGTATAGATCAAAGAGAGAAAGTTTGACGGAATCTCGGGCAACTCAAAAGAGTTACTGTCAGAGGATTTTGCTTCTCTAATTAGAGTTTCAATTAGCAATTCTCCGGCCAATATGTCATACCGAGTCTTATTTTTTTGGTTGATACCCGATCTGAAGAGCAGAGGAGAATACTTGTCCACTTCCTCTCCAAATAATAAATATTATCATTAGCGGATATTTTTTGGGTGGCGGATTGGATTCGATGCCGAGATGGATCGAAAATGATATCATCGATTAGCAAAGAGATGTCAACGTCCAACTTGTGAAGCATCTCGGCTTGTTTCTGATCACGCCTAAGTTTTTTGTTTTTGCATATACGGGCCTGTCTCGACAATTTGATTTCAGTAAGCCGTGCATTCTGTGTTACGATGTTCTCTCCTTTTCGCTTATTAGTTGATGCTTGCATTATAACTTTCAAAAAAAAATATATATATTATTAGTATGAATTCAATTTAATGGATTCTCACACTAAAAAAAGAGAGGACTTATATCTTTTTTTGTATATAATTCAATCTACAGTAATTTGTGAGTTACTATACTGTAGTAATTGGCACAACAATAATTAATTGCATGTCGCTATATTAGGTACTGTAATAAATTGATACAAAATTTCTATTTTAGTATTGTAATTAATTCAACATCGCCTCAGATCTACAAATTTAGATAAGTAGTATAAAATTATACAATAAACATGCAGGTAATTAATCGTGGTTTGTGGGACTGGTTTGCAATGACTTTACTGCTTTAGATAAACCAAGTTTGAGAGATCTATTTCAGGTATTACAAGCATATGATTTAATTTTCCGGCAATAGAAATGTACGACACCCACCATTTGAGATCATCTCAGTCGAGATAAACAAATCCGAGATATACAAATCCAAGGCATACGAAGTCGGTTAATTATACAAAATTTTGGACGTAATACCAATTTGAGTTTGGTTATAATGATTTTTTTGAGCGACACAAAATTTAAAATGGTATGAACTCTGGTTGAAGTTTGGTTATTCATTCTTATAATGAATATATAATAAAATATAAATATGGGTTGAACTAGGGTTGAATACGGGTTGAACTCGAGTTGAAAATGGTAGAATGGACAGATGCACAAACACGTACTCTAATCGAAGAACGAAGAAATAGAAATATAGAGTACCATAGCCACAGAAGAAATCGAAACATATTTTGGAATAGTATTGCAAATAGAATCAACCAAGAGCATAATACTAATTTTACTGGTTATCATTGTAAAGAAAAATTTTCGAATCTTGTTCGGAGTTATAATGTAAGTTCGCACTATAAAGCATTATTTTTTTATCTGGCTCCTATTAACATAATTAAATCATTCGATTAGGCGATGTGTGAATATATGTCAGGTAGTCGTGGAGCATGTAGAAATTGAATGGGTGCGCAATACTTTGATGAGTTTCATACACATTTTTGGGAGAGGCCTGAAGATGAATTCAATAGAATCCGTACTCTTAATACCTCAAACCATAGGCGGAATAGAGATGTAGGAAATACAATACCAGCACCACCTATTGAGGAAGTTGAGTATGTATTGAGTATGAGATCTTCCGTTAGACAGATAAACCAGTCTCCATCTATTATTAGTAGAAGGAGTCAAAGATATTCACCATATCCCGCTTCACTCCATGATAACACTAATATAAACAACCCTGGTATGAGAAATTCTGAGCAAAATATTAGTGTTCCCCGCCTCCAATTGAAACATTATCTCCCCAACCACCACCTTACTTACGGGCCACAAATGAAGCACAAAATAATAATCAGAGCCAAGACAGTTCTAACTACGAAGTAGCTGTCTCCGGCAGTAATCTAATACCTGATTTGCTAAATTTATCCTTATTACGAAATAAAAATGATGCCATTATGCACGATATAGGTAGTCAACCACTCTTCCCGATAAATGAAGAGGAAAAATAAAGATCCTCAATTACTTTTCTTTATTTAATAAAAATAGTACGAGTCGCTCTATGGGCCAGCTTTATTTATATAGAAAAAAATGCAAGATATTATATCTAATTATCTCAACTAGGTGTAGATACTGTTGAGCTTTCTTCTATATTCTGTTGTGATCTAGAAATTGGTGCGTGAATTGACAGGGATATGTTTATAATTTTTATATTTCGAAAAGTATGCACAAAATTGGTTACTACATCTGTATTAGCAAATTGCACTTGCATTTCGGCTGAACACAGTAATACCTATGAATGTCAGCCTGGTACAAGAGTATTAAGAAACTCGAAAATATTGCTGTGACCAGCAAAAAAAAAAAATGTATATGTCAAGATAACAACGCCAGGGCATAGGATCGATTTTCCGTTCACGTGATTTTTCGATGTCAGTTAGCCAATTAAAAACCGAGATCAGGTGTAACGTAAAGAAAATCAAAACAAACATTCGCTTTGCAAAATTTACATTTATCACGAAATATAGACTAGTAAATTGCCTTTTTGGTCCTAACAAAAAATTTTCCTTGTGCAATTTTACTATACTATAGTTCTCAAACCCAAACCCTAACCTAAACCCTGACCCAAACCCTAATGTAAATAAATTTTTTTATATGACATCGGAAAATCACGTGAACGGAAAATCGATCCTATGCCCTGTCAATTTGATGTAAAGATAATGGAATCTTCTTTCTTGAGGTATGGTATGACGAAAAAATTGAGATTGTCCTCCCTCAAAAAATACTAAAATTAAAGAGTTCGTTAATAAAGCTTAGATCTATAAACAAATAACCCGTTATATGTAACTTTGACGGATCATTTATACTGTACGACTTCTAATCCTTTATTTTTACTGATCTACAGCATTTGTCTGATGTACAGTACATCATGTAATAGATAAATCGTAATATATGTTTATTAAAAAACTAGCAAAGTACATGTTAATCTTTCTTCTTACAAATTTTCCCATTAACTACATCTTTGGTGCGCTCTGTAGTTGGGGTTACAAATGTGTTGGACGTAATCTTTCTAGGAGGTGTGCGATATCCCTCTTCATCAGAATTATCGAGAAAGGTTTCAATGTCAATATCATCTTTACGATTTATAATATCAAATGTTCGCAATATAATATTTTTCACGTAAAATATTTCTTTTAAAACTAGTGCAAGAGGTTTAGATTTTGTTAAATGGGCTGAAACTTCACAGACTTTTCTTCTTCGAATTCGGGTGACATACCCCTTGGAGAGGTCAGCCGTGATGACCTGCATTCTATTCCCACTCTGAAGCATTCCTACTACACGTAATTTTCTCACATGGTTTTCCTTCATGTTACACTCAATTGCAAGCTGGTTTAACATGTCTTTTAACATTTTACATATCTTTAATGAATCCGTAATAATTTTTGATCCACATTGTCCTTCCCAGTCGCGTCCAGCCTCTATAGCACCGAATTCTAAGTGATCCTTATGTAATCTAAAAACTCCATCTCCTTTTTGACCAACCTTCTTTCTATCACTTGTCGTTCTTTCAACGTTTTTTCTGTCGCTCGATGCAAGACTCATCCCTTCACCACGAATTAAATCGATATTCACATTGTAGAAGGCAGGATCAATAAGGTGACTCCAGATATTCATCTCATACCAACCTTCCAATTTCAAAGAGTCGAAAAGATTTTCATTTACTTCCCATAAGGGTAGCATTCCTCGGTAAACACGATTAACAAAATCCAGATCAAAGTGAAATTTTCGATCATATTTATATCCATTTGGTATGAATAGTTCAAAAAGAATTTCTCGTAATTTTTCAACATCATCAACTGTGTATTTTTTTAATAATTTCTTAAGAGAATATTCAAGTTCTAGCCTATCATCAACTTCTGAGGTGTTAATTTCTTTCCATTCCTCTTTAGAAAAAAGTGATTTCGTGTGCGCATCACTTTCATTAACTATGAATGAGTGTAAATAAGATTCAAATTCCAACTCTCGCGCAAATTCATATATAACCACTTCCACTCTACGTCCACTCCTTAGTATCCACATGTGATCAGGCTTCATTTTCAAGTATTCTTCTTCGAACTTTTCTAAATCAAGCTTGATTAGCGTTTCTTGCTCGGCATTATTGTAAATTCTAGGAGTGGCAGATCTAGAACTACCGTTCGATTTTATCTAAATCGTGAAAGGACGATCATATTAGTAAATTAATGTTTGAAGTAGTAATAAGCTTTGGAGTTCTACCCTTTTAGATTTCTCCTCATACAAGTCATAACCGCCACGTTTCCTCTTCTCATCTTGTTTTTCTTCACTTTCTAGTGTAATATTTTTACTGGATATGTTTTGTTTTTGACTAAATTCTACAATATTTTCAGTTATTTGATGATGGACCTTCATTGTCGATTCCACATGGTTTCGAGTTTGGGTAACCTATAACGTTAATATATGGATATGGTTGAAATAACATTGTAAGAAAATATTGAAAGAAGTATGGAAAATGAATAAGTACCTTGATACATTCCATTTTTGCCAATTCAATAGCTTTCTCGTTTTCAATAAGATCTAGTTGTTGTTCTGTTTGATAACGATTTGCAACTCGCTGAAAGTATTCTGTTGTAGTTTTTGAAGACTTCCAACTCTTTTATATAAGCAAAAGAATATAATGAGTAAAAAATGATTTAAGCTTTTTCCACGATAATACATAAACCCATTCTCTAAAAAGTACACAAGGCCATGACGAACGAATAGTTCAACACAAGACAACGAATAGTTTTCCTGTATGTCACAGGAGGCCAGAGAGAAGGACAGACGAATAGTTGATCTTCCAGTTGACGAATAGTCCCCTGGCTCAGTCCAACATCCCCATTACCTCTTCAGATTTGTATTAACAGAAACAACGAATAGTTATTTCATGATTACACAATCTTATCCTAAGAAAATTCACCTATTCATAATACGTAACCTGAAATTCTTCGCGTAAATCAGATGCCTTTTGCCTTATGTCTTCCTCAAATGTAGTGTTGTCGATTATCTTCTCTAATCCTTTTTTGATATAGTCTAAAATCTTCATTTTGTTATTTTCGAATCTTTCACATGAAATACACCAATCAGCAAATCCGTTAAGGCTCCACAATTCTGGCGGAGTAATTTGCAGGTAGTCCTCAGTTTCGGCCATAGAGTCTTGCAACGGGTATTTATAACAGTAGTTGAGAAAAAAATATATAGCAGAACACAAACAACGGAACGCGTAATTATAACGTACGAGTACCGGTAATCGAAGCTAGAATATGGTTATTATTATTATTATTTGTTTTTTTAACTATGTAACTGGTTGAACAATTCGCCTATTTTTGTTGCGTCATGAGCTGATTGACCAAATTTGGTTAGGGTACTAATGCTAATGCTAATTCTGTAATTCCAGAAAAATGACACTTTGTACTCGTTTCCCGTCTCACAATAACGATAAGCCTTGTAAGATGATACAAATAATTTTTGCGGAATTTATGTTATATATTATTGAAATATCTTGTTATGCGAACAAATAATCATTAAACTTTATGCCTGAAAAGTTATTACCAAATCATTGATTTATTGTTATTTAATTATTAGAGGATCTCTTTTAAAATTTTCACATTCATATTGTCTATATATTCCATCAGCTACTTTTTTGCATGTTTTACAATATAGGTGTGGATGATGATTGCATTCGTCACAAACCTTACATCCGTAATTCCAACCTCTAAAGATATGCCACTTTTCGAAGTAATTGTGTCTTTTTTTATTTGTTAATGTGTTATTCTTATCTTTCATTGTTATATATTATTAATAAAAAAAATATAACGTGGCCCCGTCTCAAATAAATTATGCATAAGCAGGAGAATTTTTTACCATGCTTCAAAGTTAACATTAAGCCCGGCAGACAAACCAAAATACTTTATTAAAAATTAGGCGTATTTATACATAAATGCTAACACGATTAAATTTTATTACATAGATTGTGACAGCTTGTCACAACGTCACGTGACTACATAATGGATTATTTATCTTTTAAAATCGAAAGTTTGGCCAATACAAAATCAATATCATCCTGAGATATATTTGCTATTGTTGTAGCTGTAAAAGACCGAATTTTTTGAATCTTATCTATACCTATTTCATTAAAAATATCGTAAATTTTCTGAGCTCTTTCTTTTGTCTTTCGAAGTAAGCTTTCACTAACTATTTCAGGAAGCTGAGTTCTAACCTCATTATTAACTAACCCTTGAGCTGTACGTTTGGGATTGGTTTTTCTGTACGATCCTCCAATGCTTTTCCAAAATAAAAATAGCTAAGAATAACATCTTGAGACGTTTTTTCATTAATATCTTCAGAAGTTATAATTTTATTATATAGATCAAGAAAATTAACTGAGTCGGTATTTGTTTCAGAAGTAGATTCAAATTGCGAAGTTACTGTTTTTCTGGGATCATTAGTTGACAGTTCCTGAATAAGTCTTTTCAATACGGGAGAATCTTCTCTATTTGCAGATTTCTTTTTTTTATTTGATGATTTAGCAGAGGTAGCTTCACCAACACGTTTAGATGGTAAATTACTTGTAGTGAAGTCAGGTATGCCAGGTTCTTTGTTTTGTGAATTATTTTCGGAGTTCTCTTCTACGATTGTATCTAGATTCACTAAAGAATTTTTACCAAATATTAACAGATCTTGTGATCCTTCATTTATGCTCATACTTCTTTGTAATGGAGCCCGCATTAGTGGTGACTTTTCAATGATTTCGATTTCCGCACTACAATTATTGATAGGACATGTAAACATAGTTTCTCTAAGGTTCTCAAGACAAAGACGGTGCACAGTATGACCACATGTTAATACAGTGAATGACTTTTTAAGTATGTGCAAAAAAATTTCTTCATTGCATATAGAACACGGATCTAGTTCAGGAACTTCAACACCACTTGCAATAGTTTCGGAAGAGCCATTTTTAAGAATATTTAATGCGAGGGTTTTAAGGCATGTAATATTCATACTTACAATTTTTTGGTTATGTTGCTATATTTCAAGCAAATAATGCATGTTTTATAATGTCTCATGAAATGAGGATGCTCTGCATCTAGCAATTTTTACAGATCAACATATCTAGGTGCAAAACACTACAATCAAAAATTAGTAATTTTGGATTTGGCGATCCATTCATTCACGAATTATTTAATATGAGCCAGGAGAGTCAAAGACTCGATCCAAAGGATCATCGCTTGATCTTCGCTGGCAATCGTGGATAAATAATTTAGCTTAAAGGTAGACCCAAAGGATCATTGCTCTGCAATAAGTGTGGTTAGTGAGTTGGTTAGTACCGAAATACTTCTATGCTGATCTCCGATTCATGGATTTAGGCTCGAAGAGCTATTTCTTTGAAATAAAACACATGACATCACTCCCTTAAGCCCATTATAACGTGATGTGATTTACTTCACTTTGTGGCAATATATAAGATCATCAAGCTTAATAATTAACTTTACTTTTTACTTCACGCTTTCGAATAGGGCGTTTCTTTACTGCTCTAGTCTTATGCGCATGTGTAACTTCTATTTCTGAAC